TTATTAATTTCTTACACAAATCTAGCTCAACATAAAACAAAGACTTTATAAGTAAATCCACATTTTGTACAAAAACGATGTAGGAAAATGCATTAGGGTTAGAAATTTCCACTACTTTTATGGCATGCAGTTTTATAGCCCTTTTAGGCTATATATAATAATTATTATATATATACATATGTATGTACCGAATAATTTATTATTATATTTTTATTGCCAAACATCTCAGTAAACAATCGAATAAATAAATATTATTTATACATATGTATGCATGTAGGCTCATTTCTGAAAAAAACAATATGTAGATGAAAATATGTTAACAATATTCCTTGTATTAATTATACTCAATTATTTTTAAAGTGCACTATATTAATTTCCCCATCGACAAATTCGCTCTGACATTAAACACTGTGTCATTTACACATTCCAATTGAGTACCGTTTCATTTTTGTGCAAAACAACTTATACTAGTAATTGTTATTGCATTTAATAAAATGCCTAAACATTTGTTACTCATCAATTAAAAAACAAAACATGGTCTTGCTGTGCATACAAGTACGAGTATAGGTGGATGAAGAAATACAAGAAAGAATGCCTTTGAAAAAAGGCGTTGAGCTCTAGCTCAGTCACTCGTCGCTCACGCTCCGCTTTACACGACGTACACCAAATTACGCGCCAAAACTAGAAAAACAGCTAACCTCGCAGAAAAATTACATCAAAGAGAATATAAAAGAAATCATACGTTTAATCATTGTTCTCTCGTGTCAAAAATATATAATTTTACTAAAAAAAAAAAAACAAAAATATACGCCAAAGCAAATGTTTTACAAAATCGTCAATTTAATAAAATTCTGTTAATTTTTTCGATACTGCGACCGTTTAAAGCCCCTGTCTTCTGTGTTTTCATCAATTCCCGACCACGTTGCGCGTTATAAAATTTTTCAACCACATTTTGTTTTGGAAGAAGTGTTTTTTTCATTGAAAAACTACTTGCTTCCCTCTGACAACAATTTTCACTTTTTATTGACCAATTGACAAGAATTAATTGCAAAATTAATTTAACGTAAATTGCAAGTTCTCAAATAAATATGTATTAAGAAATTCCACGTGTCGACCAATTTTCTCTGTTCAACCTTTTACATCCGTGATTCAAATAATAACCTTTAATATAAATGTGTGTGAATTTGTGATTTAACAAAAGAATGGATGCGTCTTATATATCCTTTCTAAAACAAAATTATGAAGTGTAAAATCGGGTGAGTATAATGTTATCGATGATTCGGTGAACCAAACGTTAAACGGAAAGTTAAAAGAGTTTTAGCGAAAAAGTTCTATGTTTTTTAGTTACTTGTGATTGATTTCAAAGTTATTTCAAGGCAAATTTTAATATACATGTATGTAGATCGCATCATTGCAATACCAGTGGTGTCGAGAGATGTTTAGTGAAGAAAATCGCTCTCCTTTTAAATTGTTTTCAATGTTTCGCAATGCGTTTTCTCAGCAACATTGCATCGGCAACATATGTATATACAACAAACATATTTAGTATATGGCAGCATTTTGGTGAATATCAGCTTCAGCAACAAATGTGCTCATAGTAGATAAAACTCACCAGACTTGTTTTGATTTTAATTGACTCCTGCCAGCTGTAACTTTCACCACTTGACTGCCGATCAGTTCAATGACCGACCGACCGCACTATTTCTCCTACCCGCTATCAAAACAAATTTCAACGCCGCTGTACATATCACGTATGTATTTATGATTCGGGTCCTTGAGTTAGTTCTGTTTTAGATTATTGTTGTTGGCTTGTGCGGCTCCGTGTCTGAGCACTCAGCGATTCGAGCTTAAAATTATTTTGGCTAACCATTCGCCCTTCATTTGCTTTTGCGTATTCTTCAGGCTCGTTTGGGATATTTTAAGAATTTATACTTTTTCTACTGACGGTGTTTAAAGTAACTTGTTTATTTCTCAAATGAAATATATAAAATTATAGACTTGTGTCACACATATTCTAAGCCGATTTGTGTATAAAAAAGGTTTCGTAAATATTTTGCCAACGACTTGTCTACTAAATACACTTTGAACTTTTGGCTGGCTACGGTGATTGACGAGTTGGCGCGTTTTCTGCAACTATACTTTCTGGATTTACCAAATTTATTTGCTATTAAGTGAATAAAAGGGTATATTTTTCTAAATAGGTAAAATACCAAATATTTTATAAAGTAATTTCCAAGTTCCAATAGTTGTATTACGTGCGTGGTATTGCCAATTGTAAAGGCGCGAAAGTTGTGCAGGAGTTAGCGGTTATCAACTGGAAGGACCACATGTAGTTGAGGTCATAAATTCCAATTAGTTACTGAGTGTGAAGTGCTTTGCAATTTTAATAGCCAAAAGCAGGTTTTTTTTTTTATATAGGAGCTAATTTTTTAGTGACAAACCTGGCGTGGGCGCTAAACTCTCGGAATTTAGTAAGAATTTCGTTAAAGGAGCATGTGCTAAGTTGTAATTTCGTGCATACAAATTTATGAAGACGCATCACATGGTGACCGCATTGCGATCGCCATTTTGAAGGTTAACTACACCAGAAATAAAAGCACAAAATGTGGTATGTATTTAATACGAAATATTGGCTTCTTTTAAATCTGTTAAATCGTGGGTAGTTTAATTTTATTTTATTAGGTTAAAAATTTATTTAATGTTCGCTGGCACCTCATTTAATTGTTGTAAATTATGAACTTATTTAGCTGATATGAGCATACATACTTATGCTGCCGAACTTGCAGTTAGAAAAATCATTTAGTTTTGGGCCCCGCCATAGGGCTCAATCTCCAAATGTATTAACTTTTTTTTTTATAATAATACACAATTCTTTCCAAACGCGCCGCTTACTTACTAAGTATCTAAGTTAATGATTTCGCTTATAGCTGTGAATTTTATGAAAAAATACTTATCCCATTTGCTATAATAACACGTCGACAAAAAAAAATATAAAATCAAAATGCACGAAGCCATAAATATACTCACGAGACTATGGGCCAAATACAGTCAAACTGCGTGTTTAGTTTTTCTTTTTGGCGCCAAAATCTTTTTTAAAGAGACTTTCTAGTTTTAAGATTAAGATTAATACCGAAAACTATTAAAAAAATATTCAGTGCAATGTAGAAAGAAAATTCTGTAGAATTAAACAAAATAATTTTTAGTTCACAAGGACGAATAGGTATTGAAATTTCTTTTTAGCTAATTTTATTTTTTATGCTAATAAAGTGAGAAAGACAAAATTCCAGGGTGTGGTAGAGGTTATAAAGCCCTTAACTCTTTAAACGCTAGTGTTACATATAAGTAACGCTCGAATTTCGCGGACTAATATTGTTGTTATGAAAATTTTTATTACATAACAAAGATTCACGAGTGTATATGTAACATGTCATGCAGACACCCCTTGATAGAGGTACTGTGGGGTTTTGTACATATCCTCTCTTTTAGTATCTTCCAAAATTTGGTTCCTCGAAATTTCCTCTTTTGCTTTCGCATTTAATGAGTTAATATATAATTTTTTCAACAATAAATAGTGCAAAATTTCAGGAATATTCGAGGGTAAAATTTTAGAAGGACATTTTCAATATATACCTACTCGGCCTTATGCATCAACAAATTTTATCTGTTTTAATTCTATAGAATTTTCTCTTTAGTTTGATATACATACATACTGTTTTTCTGCATGGCACTAAATTTTTTAAATATTATTTTTTTTCTAGTTACTAATTTTTACACATTTCAAAGTCCTTTAAAAACGCTAGTGACGTCACAGAGAAAAAATAAAAACACAAATTCACTCGACTTGGCCCATCCTTTTGCGCGGTGTAATATACTGCCTGTAGTTAAGTAATGTATTTTTAATATTTTTAACCGACTTCCAAAAAAGGGAGGAGGTTATCAGTTCGTCGGAATATTTTTATTTTTTTATTTTTTATATATATATTTTTTTTTATGTAGGTTACCGTGGTCCACGTTAACCGATTTCGATAATTCTTGCATCGGAAAGGTAGTGTCCCAGAGGTGGTCCCATACTAATCTGGTTAAGATCCGATCAGTGGATCATGAGATATATATATATATATTTTTTTTTATATGTGAGTTGAAGTCGGTTTTTTTGCTAAAAATTACTTGTTATTTTTACATTGCATTGAAAGCATGCCTTGATATAGGAGTCTTTAGGGGGAAAATGGCGATCGGGATGTTTTGTTTTTATCCAACACTCTTTCCTGCCATTACATTGCGCAGGCTTAACGTTTATCGATTTTTGCGATTATCCAATTTTTACACCAGGGTTGAAATAAAAGAAAAAAAAAAAAGTTGTTGGAGTTCTGCAAATAGTCAACTAATTCAAGCGTGTACTGGGAATTTGCACAAAAGTTAGCAGCATTATTATGTACATATCTCCAACCCGGGGCACAATAGATCTCTTGGTTGCAGTGCATACCTCTTTTAGTTATTTGTCTATTTATGTATCACACACGAAATTGGTCAGCAGACGATATCGTATACCTACCTCTATCGGTCGTCTTCGCCTTGCTTTACATCGATTAGGTTGCAATCGTCTCGGTTTCGTTTAAACCGGCTAGAATGATGCCGCCGGACTAATTTTTTTTAGCATTCCTGCGCAGACGAATAGTCGTGCAGCATATCGTTCGGGATACATAACAAGACGATAAATGTTTCCTCAAGTTATGGCAAAAGTGTCAAACCCTCAGTTCTGCATACTAAGTAATCCATCTCAATTGATATTAGCTCACATGGATGCATAAGTCGCGATAACCAATTTGCAGTACTGTATTTCAGAGCTTAAATTCTCAACTTTTTGTTAAGTGTTTGTGAGCTAATTGGTCAAAATCTCCAAATATGCCAAGCGACACATCTTACAACAACATCCACTTGAGATAGAGAAGTCTAAGTTCATTTGTTTTTCAGTAAACCACTTCACTCCTTTTAAACACCAACTAAATAACTTAAACTCCCAAACGACGAGTTAACGGAGCTGATCTCTCAGAGCGGACAATACAAAATTTTGCTAACGACCACACAAAGTTGTTTACCGATTGTGTTAAGTTCACCTTTTAACTAAAATCACAAACAATTAAAGAATAGCAACAACGGGAATAATGTTGTCCTGTGCGCAAATAAACCAGCTAATTTACTCCACGGCCGCTGGAGGGGTAACTACCGTTGCACCGGCTACTTCAAGTGCCGCTCACTCGTTGGGCGCACCATCTAGTGGAGCACCAAGTGAAACGCAAAGCGAAATCTCGTCTGCGGATAGCGATTGGAGCGATATACGAGCGATCGCATTGAAGTTGGGTGTAGCCAATCCGGATGACTTGCATACGGAGCGTTTCAAGGTGGATCGTCAAAAGTTGGAGCAGATGCTAAAGGGTAAGTGGAAAAACTATTAATGTGCATTAAAAAGATATTCAAGATAAATTGATTGCTAACAGAGGACAGCGCGATTGAGGGGATGAATGGCGCTGAGTATTTTTTTGAGAGTGTAAGTCTTATTTTTGAAATATTCAAATTAACCCTTTTTACAAAGTAAACAAACTTCTGATAAATTTAGGTTATGAAATCTACTGAGACTTATATTAGTTGGCCGTGCCGCCTCAAAATTGGCGCTAAAAGCAAAAAGGGTAAGATATTTGCTTTCATCTTTTAGATGTGAGATTCGTGAATAAATACTCATATTTCAGATCCACATGTGCGAATCGTTGGACGCATCGAAGAAGTACAAAAGGCCAAGGAGCGTGTTCTTGCGAATTTGGACTCAAGAGTATAAATTCTATGATTCTATGCATTTCCTTGAAATTATTCTTTTTTTTTTTTTAAACAAAATTTCATCTCTCCTCAGGGCACTCGCGTCATCATGAAAATGGATGTATCTTACACAGATCATTCATATATTATTGGACGCGGTGGTAATAATATAAAGCGTATTATGGAGGATACTGCAACGCATATCCATTTTCCCGATTCGAATCGTTCCAATCCAACCGAGAAATCCAATCAGGTCTCTTTGTGCGGTTCTTTGGAGGGTGTTGAGCGTGCACGTGCTTTGGTTCGTCTCTCAACGCCACTGCTTATCTCATTCGAATTGCCAGTCTTGGCACCAGGGCGTCCCCAGCCCGATCATGAGACATCTTATGTCAAGTTGGTTGAGGCAAACTATAACGTACAAGTAAGTAGTCTACAATAATTCGCAAATGCTCGTCACTACTGAAAATCAAAATTTGGTTAGGTCATCTTTTCGTCTCGTCCCAAACTCCACTCTTCCTTGGTTCTTGTCAAGGGCTCTGAGAAGGAAGCCACCAAAGTACAGGATGCAACACAAATGTTGATTAATTTCTCATGCGAAAACATTGCTGTGAGTTTAAAAAAGTCATCATCATCAACAAAAAAAAAAGAAATACTTAAAATATGTGTAAATGTGCTAATGCCTTTATGTTTTCAGAACCAAATCTTAGTGCAGATGCAACTGGAAATCTCGCCCCAGCATCATGAAATTGTGAAGGGCAAAAATAACTCGCATTTGCTAGGTATTATGGAGCGTACAAGGACTAAGGTGAGGTTCTGTAATTACATAAATGCGGCACTCAGCCGTAATTGCAAGAATTTTTATTTGTGTATTTCGTATTTAGATTATTTTCCCTGATCTCTCGGACATGAATGTCAAACCATTAAAAAAATCTCAAGTGACTATTACTGGGACTATCGACGGTGTCTACAAGGCACGACAACAATTACTTGTAAGTTGAAATTAAAGTTAATTGAATACGAGTTGGGAAACTTACGTCTATTTCCTATTCGACAAAGGGTAATTTACCAATTGCATTGATTTTCGATTTTCCGGACAATCAAAACAATGCCTCTGAAATAATAGGCCTCAGCACGAAATATGGCGTTTATATATCACTACGCCAGAAGCAAAGACAAAGCACTTTGGCCATTGTTGTAAAGGGTGTCGAAAAATTTATAGGTAAGTGACGTTCAATTGAGTGGAACGGCTGTAGGAAGATTGTTCATTCATTATTCCTCCTTTGTTATCATAGACAAAATTTACGAGGCGCGTCAAGAGATTTTGCGTCTCAGCACACCGCTTATGAAGGCGACTATTCCAGAGAGCTATTTCGCACCGAGAGATAAAGATTTCAACCTTGGATATCGCACAATGTTGACTTCAATGCTGGCTGGCTATCCTGATAGCCCGAGGACGCCTGGCCTGCTAACGGCCCAATTGCAGATGTCACCCTACGGCAGCAATGGTCAATTGCATAATAGTAACAATAATTTGTTGATTAACAATAACAACAACAACGATAACAAAAACAACAACAGCAAATCATATCCACCTGGTTTCGGTGCTTGCACCGCTGCCAACGTCTGCCCACCCACTCAAAAGTACGTGGCAATGCACAACAACAGCTTCAGTCGCCCGCAGCCGACCCACAACACAACACACAACAGTTACGTGCATGTGACATCGCCGAACGCTCCGATACAGCGCGCTCAGCAGACTGCTTTGCAGCCGCAGCAACAACAGGTGTCGCCACGGAACAGCTGCCACAACACTAGCGGCTATCAGAGTTTCAGCAGCAGCACCACTTCGCTGGAACAAGTCTATCCGCCGTTTGGCGGAGGCGGCGGCGGCGGCGGCGGCTGTAGCAATCGCCTGCCGATACCAAGTGGAGGTGCAGGTGAGATAGGTTCGCGTGGGCAGTACTCACCCGACTCGACCTATAGCAGCGAAGCTGGTTGTGGTCGTATGGGTCGACGTTCCAGTGATGGTGTATTGCTGGGATTGGGGGCTTCAGGACCGCTTGGGGCACCTCTGATGCCGGGAAGCGCAGAAAGTTATCGCAATTTGCATTATGAAGCGAAGGTGAGATGATTTTTTCAAAAATATTTATCACTTTTATAAACTTTTTGCTTGCAGCAAAATCGTATTTTCGACTTTGATATGAAACGTGCCATGGGCTTCAAAGCCATGGAGCGCCCACCTATAAGTGGTGAATTGCGAACCCCCACCCCAAATTGGGCTGGCATGGCGTTGAGCCGAACATCACCAGGCATATTGGAGAGTGTCGATGACAGCTTGTGGCCGCGTAACGTAGCCAGCATGAACTTTGGTGGCGGTGCTGGGCCAAGCGGCCCATCGATTACTCCCTACGCGCTCGGTATGACTGTAGGTTTGATGGATGCAACACCGACAAATCGACGACTGCAATTGTCCCAACACAAGGACATACATACGCTATTGACAAGCCTCGGCTTGGAGCATTACATAAGTAGCTGATCATAGGAATACTAAGTAAAAGTATAATAACTTCATTTTAATCGCTTTCTTTCAGAAATATTTGTTACCAATGAAATCGATCTTGAAATGTTCACAACTTTAACCGAAGATAATTTGTTGGAATTGGGCATAACGGCTTTTGGTGCCCGCAGAAAATTGCTGCTGGCAATTAACACATTGCAGGCCAATGATGCCACTAATGCGGGCATGCCAATTGCCTCGGCGCCTCAGTCAAACAACTCATCGCCACGTTTTTCGGGCTCAGCAGCACCGGGTGCCGAGCGACGTCCTTCAAATCAGTGGTAAAAGCAAAGACTTACTGTTGAACAAACTCCTTTCAAAAAAAAAAAAAAAGAAAAAAACCTTAAAAAACATAAACAAATACCCAACTCAGGAACCGAGTGAAAGCTTGAAGCTTCAAGTTTTTCTTAGTTTATAGTTTAATCTTTCTAGACTTAAGTTTGCATGCTGATCTGTAATATTTTGTAAGTTTGTTTACCCTACATATAATTTACTTAAAAAGTGCTGTAGCACTGGACGTACATTTTAACACCTTAACGTCAAGCCATAAGAACAAAGAACAGAAAGAAATAAGACATATCGACTTTCCAAATCAAAGGCGTGAGGATTGTGTTAAGAAGCTTCGCGAAATGCCGCACGAGTGTAATTGATTCTGTACATTGGCAACCAAAAACTTAACTGCAGGACATTTAAGTACCCTTTCCAATTAAAAACGCATAACTGAAAGGATCTATTTTGACTTATACTCGTACTTGTAGGCAGATTAAATTGCAAGTCATGAATCAAGTTCCCCGATCGCTCGTTTTTGCGAACTTTTCGTCGAAAATTACACAACTGCACCGCTGTGTCTTTTTTAACAAAACAATCTAATTTTACACTTATTACAAAACATATTTATGTATTTATTTTTTTTTTTTTGTATTTATTAATTGAATATTTATTGAATAGTCAGAAGAAGAAATACTCATAGAGAAAATGAAAAAAAAAAATATGAAACCAAGAAAAAACTGCGAAAAATATTATTTATATAACTTATTTGTATGAAATTTTGCATGCCACGATTGTGTATTGTTATAGTATGTACTTAGTAAAATGAAAACCAACGTTTGTAAAACGAAAAAATATGTACGCTGTATCAAGAAATGAATTGGAACTAGCCTAAGTGAAAAGTTGTGTGAAATGTTTGCATGAAAACGAGAACACTAATTAAAAGTTTATGCGAAACACTAAAAAACTTTAGAAAATTTCAAAACAAATATACATATAAGTACATTTTTTATGATAGATGTAAGAAAAGGCATCGATTAAACACCAGATGGTCTGTCTCCTCAAATGGGTCGCGGAAACAGAAAAAGAACTTCACAAGCCGATGCAGATTTGCCAAAGTTGAAGAAAGTAAGAAGCAATGTTTGCATTTTATGAAGGATAAGTCTAAACATACAGCGAAACATTTGGCCCAAATTTAAATTGTTTATATGAATAAACACTTAGAAGCCTTTTTCTGTAGTAGAAATTGTAGGGGATTTCATAACATTTCGTGAGTGGTGCGGGTGTTTTCTGAAACGTCAAATAGTACAAATCAGCGTACTCGTCAACTGAAGCTGCAATAATATGAATTTCCATAGCCGACTATGTAACACTGAATATAAATTCATAGTTAAACTCTTGTTTGTGATTAAGTTAACAACGGTTTAACTAAGAATTGGGAATCGGCCCTTAGTTTTATTTTTTTCTTCTGTACTTTACGATGTTAAAAATAGCTTGCTATATCAACTTGTCCTTTAAAGCATCCATTATAATTAGACTGCGGATTTGTATGCAGAAAACGAAGCCTAGAAATATATACGAAATAACTTTAAACAAAATGTATACAAATTTCAAACATTTTGCTTATCGTTAAGTGAAAATTATTTTGGGCTTCGTTTTCTACATAAACTTTCGCAGTCTTATTATAAGTAAATAAATATCAGATGCCAATAGAACTATTCGTAAACAAAGCAGTACTTCCAGACAAATTTATGCAGAGCATCCAGATTACATGCATAAATTGAAATCATGACAATCGCATAATAATGTTTAAGAAAAAAGCCTGCGTCTTGATGTTTTAAAACAAATGGTGGGACCTACAATTGTACTTTAACTTCGAACGGCAAATGGTTTTATGAGAAGCTGTTTTATGGCAGAAATACAAGTGCTCGTATTTGAGGATGTTTTGCTTCAATGATTGCAATATATTTATGTGTGTATCTATCGAGCGAGATACGTTTGTGAAAAATAAAGCTATTAAAAGATCTTTAAAAGGATTACTATCTTTCAATACTAAATTTAATATTTTAAATATATTAGTTAAACAAAATATTACAATATGGGCGTCACGGGAAAAAGTTCCAAAGCTACTTGCACATTTATATCAAAGCGTTTTCTATACAGCTGCAAGCTTGCTTTAAATTATATCCCAGCAAACATTTGGAGTCATAAATGAGTCTTTAAGGAGTCCTATTTCGGAGCTATTACGCTCATAATGAGCTCATTTAAGAGTCCGGTATGAGTGTGTTTCCCTTCCTACGAATGTCGACTTATATGAGCTTAAATTCATACATCAAATGAGCCTCAATATGAGTCATATTGGACTCTTATTGGCCTCATATACGGCTCATTTTGGACTCTTTTAAAACAAGTTTTGGCCTCATATATGACTCTTTTTGAGACACTTTCTTTTAATATAATATTAAAAATTTTTTACGATTATATAGTTCATTCCACAATGCAAACCATACATATATATGTAAATCAATGATTCACACTCTATATAAAGTATACAATCATTAAAAAAAATGTGTTAAAGTCTCAAAATTTGTATTCAGAATTTCTAGAAAATTTTCGAGTGGGCAGTTTTGTCGCCTACTTAACTTAAAAAATAAAAAAAACTTAAAACAAAGTGCAAGTTTCAAGTCGATAAAAATTACCGTTGATTTTTTAGATTTTTTCTTTGTGGAGGGTGTTGCGCACTTTCTTCCATATAAAAATAGATTTAATGCGTAACATGGAAGAAAACACACCACACGCACTACAAAAACTAAAGTTGATGGGCTACAAAACTGCTCCCTGAAAATTTTCTAGAAATAACGAATAAAAATGTGTAAATTTTGATGAGATTTCTTTGAATTTTTGTGAATTTTATATAAAGTGTGAAACTTTGAGTTATATGGTTTCTGTTATAGAATGAACATTATTTTCATAAATAATTAATGCAAAATACGAAAATAGTTCTGAATATTATATATGTATATTAGAACAAGGTGTACACTTTCATTTGTCGCCCAGTGTACATATGTACATATGTAGGTATGTACATTATGTTTGTGTAGTTGAAGATGATTGCATTAGCACCGTGCAATAAGTCAAGAATATTTTGTGCAAAATAAAGTTATTAGTCATGACTTTTTGCAGTTCAGGTGACGATACGTAATTACATCTGCCAAAATATCAACGAAGGGGAGCAAGAAAATAAATTTTGTATAATCATTTCGCATATTTTTATTCACATGTTCATTATTTCAATTACATATTTCATAAGTAATTTATTCTTAAAACCAACACAAACTTATTCTTATTCTTAGTCTTTTATTCACAAACATCATAATATGTAATTACATACAGTGACGAGCAAAACTGTAACATGGAGTAACACTTTTTATTTCAGCCGTCGCTATCTTTCCAAGTTCTAACGACATTCATACTGTTGTTGTATATTTTTATTGGTACATCTTTGCTTCCTCTGTCATAACGATTTGAAGTCAATTCAACAACATTAACAAAACCAGCAGACAAAAATGTAAATTAAGGCAAATGTTACAGTTTTGCACTCATATATTTTTAACAACTTTTTGACAATTTTCACAAAAAAAAAGAATTATTAACACAATGTTCAGTATTCTTTTGCTTTTTTTAGTTCCTGGTTGCAATTTGGCATACCTAATGTGTATCTCTGTAAAAGTTCTGGAGGTATAGCCTCCCATATATCCTTGGTTTGCTTTCACAGCTCATGTACTCCATTGGACGGACTTGGATATTTAGTAAGCTGCGCTTTTAGCTGATTTCGCAAATTCCCGATGAGATTCATGTCCTCGGATTGTGGAGGTCATTTCAAATTGGCAAATTTTTTCTTTTGTTCCAGTCTTTGCGAACATGTGCAGTGCGTTTTGGTTGATTTTTCAGCAGAAACTCTAATTTTTTCGACTACATAGTTCAAATTTTGTTGAAATATGAACAGATACTGTTCCTTACGCATAATGCGTACTAACGGACCAACAAAATTTTTGAAATACAACCCCAAGCAATTAAGATCCTACCACTGTGATTCACAGTTTGCAGTACATGATGCGCTTAGGCTTAATTTGGGTCTTTGATTCAATACCATGCCCGGCTATCTGATTGAAAGCGATTAGTTAAGTCTTGTTAGTCCAAATAACCCTCAATTAAATCTTAAAAATGTGTTTTTTATTGCATTCTGGAGGCATATCCCAATAGGCAACGGTCCGGTTTTCGTGCGATGCAGCAAAACGCTGCCACACTCGCACATGTATTTTGATCAAATTTGCTTTTTTCTTCTTTTATGATCCATTGCGCTCAATTTGGCAATTTTTCGCCTCACTGTCTACTGATTTGCATTCAATTTTAATACCTTAAGCGCTTCTGTAGTAGTGGCTGCAGCGCTACTTGCTACTAAGTTCACAAGATATCGGACTGTAATATATTTTGACAGACTTCCTTTGTCCTTAGTAACACTTTAGGCTATATTTTTTCTCAGTCTTAACATTTTCATGTGGCAAACTTCGCAATTTTTTGCCACTTTCCCTGCGGTCCCGCCTTTACGCAGTAAATCTATTATTTACATTTATGTTTCCTGATTAACCATATTATTTATTGGTGATCACTTCTTGAATAAATTACAATACAGAAAAAAGTCATCTGACTTCCAACTAAGCAAAAGATAACTGTAAAATGCAAAACTGAGAGTGTGTGCAAAACTGTAACATCTGCCTTAATTTACATTTTTGTCTCCAGGTTTTTTTATTGTTGTTGGATTGACCTCAAATCGTTATGAGAGCGGGAGTAGGGGTGTACCAATAAGAATATACAACAAAAGTATGAAAGTCGTTAGAACTTTGAAAGATAGCGGTGGCTGAAATAAAAAGTGTTACATCATGTTACAATTTTGCTCGTCACTGTATGTACTTATGTTATACACTCTAATGCTTTATACATAAATACAAATACATACA